GTAGTAAGCAACCCATGTCCAGTTAAGGCTGCAGAGTCTCATGCTCTGATAGAATGTCCCCTTCTACTTCAGTCACCAAACCGTTACAAACACATAGCAATAATAAATAAGATATAAAAAGGGAAAATAAAAATGATAAAATTTGGTTCAAAAAGCATAAAAAGAAATACCTCCATGGAATAGAAACAAACAAAACTACCACCATGAAGAGAACAGAACTGCAGCTGGATATCTACTGGCCTTGCATCTGCACACCCAAGGCTTCAGCTCCCAAAGTTCATGAAGACAGTGTACAGACTCAAACAGATCTTCGAGGACACAGCCCAGGGCTGGAGCTCCCTCTTGTCACATGAGACTAAAAAAAAGTTTGCTCATGCATTGTTTAGAGTTATGGATTCATAGAAAGCTACAAATGTTGGGAAGTAGGAATTCAGACAAGCTGAGAAGGAATTGGTGCTGAGAAGGAATCGGTGATATCTATGATACCAAAGTTAAGTCAGGAACACCAAAATACTACTGTGTACCCTGTTTTGAGCTGGAGGCCCCAAGGTGCTAGACAGCGAAAATAATTTAGTTAGACAGGAAGAGGTGAGCATGGAGGGAAAGAGAAGTAGAGGAAATAAATACAAAATGAAACACTTCTTTATTAAAAATGAGCCTCTTGCAAAATAAAATTCCAAAGCCATATTAAAATATCTAACATAAGAAAGAGTATGAGTCCCATTTCCCCACTCAAGATAAAATTAATTTTTTGGAATTATTGGACAAAGAATTGAAAATAAACGAGCTGATGAGATCAAAGAGATAACATGAAGATAACCTTTCAAATAAAAAACAACACAAAAGTATGAAGCAAAAAAATCCTGAAACAAGAATGAAACAAGAAACAAATGGATCTGAAAGAGAAACAAACAGGAATATAAAATGCATACATTAAAATTAAAAGATCAATTGAAAGAATGGATATTACGCTTGAAACTTTCAGAAGAAGTACTACATTGGAAAAGAAAAATTCACCCAGTTCCTGGTCAAAGAAAAGAAAAATTCCCCTCAATTAAGGGGAATTGAGGATATATTGCCAAGGATTCCTGAAGAAGAAAATGAAGAGAAAGAGTTGAAATCCTCATACTAAAAGTGTATTGTACATACCTAAATAAATAAATAAATAAGAAAAGGGAAAAAAGAGAAAAAATTAAATAATTGCAGGATGAGTTCAAAACGTCAAGAACAATGAGAAAATCTATTTTTTTTTTAAGATTTTATTTATTCATTCATGAGAGACACACACAGAGAGAGAGGCAGAGACACAGGTAGAGGGAGAAGCAGGCTCCATGCAGGGAGCCCGACATGGGACTCAATCCCAGGACTCTGGAATCATGCCCTGAGTCGAAGGCAGGCCCTAAACTGCTGAGCCACCCAGGCGACCCAATAATGAAAAAATCTTAGGTCCTCCTAGATGAAAGACTTCCAATCAGATAACACACACAAAAAAACCAGTGAAGTAATATCTTCAAGGAACTGAGGGAAAATAGACGTCTACACTGCTAAACTCTTGCCATGTGTATGCAAAAATGAAACCACTTTCAAATAGTAAACCGTAGACCAAGAGTTTAGCCACCTGCAGACTGGGCTTAGACTCATCCAGTATGGCACTGGCACGCACAAAGAGACTGCTGCTTATGGCTAGTGTCTCTTCTGGTTGATAACTACCCACGCTATTCTAGGATGTATTATGTTTAATATGACCCCTGACCACTTCCTTCCTGGTTAGTAAATACTGTTGCCCCAAACACTCAGGTTTGCTTCTGCCATCTTAGGCCTCCCTTGGGACCCTGACCAGACTGATCCATAATTTTACAACTAAAGAGTTAACAGCTGTAACAGTAGGGGATCTCCCAAGATCCTGCTTCTACCCAGGGGGAAGATCTCATTCTGATTGGTCAACTCCTTTTGACTGCAGGGTCTTGGCTGTTAAATATTTTAGATAATACCTTTGCAACAGGTCCTCTATGAAAGCTAGCAAAGCATATACTTTGCCAAGAGAAAAAGTGACCCAGATAGAAGGTCTGTAAACAGGAAATAGATTTTAGCAAACGAATTGATAACTTAAGACAGAAAATGTATTTACCAATTGATTGTAGAAAGGATTAGGTTGTGTTAAAGTGGTAGTGGGGAAAAAAGAAGGAAAGTAAATGGATAGTAAATAGTTCCTGGTGGGAGAGCCTTAAAAAATATCCATGTTTATTGGAACCCCTGTGTTCTGTTGGTGGGAATATAAAATGGTGCAGCCGCTTTAAAAAACACTATGGCACTTTCTCAAAAAATTAAAAATAGAATTACCATATGATCCAGCAATCCCTCTTCTTGGTGTATATCCAAAAGAACTGAGGCAGGATCTTGAAGAGCTATTTGCACACCCATGTTCATAGCAGCGTTATTCACAAGAGCCAAGAAGTAGAAGCAACCCAAATGTCCATCCATCCATGGATGAATGGGTAAATGAAATGTGTATACTTCCACATGGAATGATGTTCAGCCTTTAAAAAGAAGAAAATCCTGGGGCACCCGGGTGGCTCAGTCGTTAAGCATCCCAACTCTTGATTTCTGTGCAGGTCATGATCTCAGGGTTATGAGATGGAGCCTCACATCAGGCTCCACGCCTTGCTTAGGATTTTCTCTCTCCCTCTCCCCCTGACCCTCTCACCCTCTCTCTCTTTCTCAAAAGAAAAAAAAAAAAAAAAGGAAATCCTGTCATGTGCTACAACATGGATCAACTGAGGACATTATGCTAAGTGAAATAAGCCAATCGCAAAAGACAAAACTTGTATGATTCCATTTATATGAGATTAAGATTCTACGTTTATGAGTCAAACGCATAAAAACAGAAAGTGGAATGGTGGTTGTCAGGGGCTAGGGGGCAGGGGGAAATGGGGAATTGGTATTTAACAGAGTTTCAGTTTTGTAAGATGAAGAAGTTCTGGAGATCCATCACACAACAAAGTGAATAAATATACTTAACATTACTGAACTCTGTACTTAAAAATAGCTAACATGGTAAATTTTATGTTATATATATTTTTTACTACAAAAAAAAAAAAATAGGGACGCCTGGGTGCCTCAGGGGTTGAGCGTCTGCCTTTGGCCCAGGCCGTGATCCCAGAGTTCTGGGATCAAGTCCCACATTGGGCTCCTTGCGAGGAACCTGCTTCTCCCTCTGCCTATGTCTCTGCCTTCTCTCTGTGTCTCTCATGAATAAATAAATGAATAAATAAAATCTTAAAAAAAATAACCAAGCAATTCTAACATAATACTTCTGTGGGGGCAGGTGAGAAGGGTAGGCGGTAGATATTTTTAAAAATTTCCCAGGTGATTTTTAATGTGCTGCTAAGGTGAAAACCACTGAATTACGCCTAAAACAAAATCGTATGAAATTTAAAAGAAAAAAAAAAAAGAAAATGGGAGAGTGGAGAGATAAAAGACAAATAGAGAAATAGAGGAAATACTATTTTTAAAAGGTAGTACAGCAGTTATCATATTAGACAAAATATAGAACATGAACCAAAAATCTTTGAATAACCTGGGATGCCATATCAAGATCAAGGGGAAAATCACGTACCATCATGAGTGTTATGTACCCAACAACATAGTCTAGGCAGAAACTCACAGAATGATAGGAGACAGTTACAAATGTAAAATCATGGTAGGAAATGTTCAACACTTTCTTCAAAAACTATCAGATCAAGGAGACAAAAAACTTTAGCAAGGATAAAGAATATTTAGGAAGTAAAACTAACAAGGTCGATCTAGTTGGGATCCTGCAAGTGGTAAACAGAGACTGTTTCTTCTTTTCAAAAGCAGATGAAATCATTATAAAAACTGACAACGTACAAGGTCACCATCTGAGACAAAGAGTCCGATGCCTAGCCAACTGAGCCACCCAGGTCCCCCTTCCATGCTTTTTGACTCTGTAATTCCATTTCTGAAGATCTGGCATATGGACATGATCCTAAATCTATTAAAAACTCCATGAGGTTCAGAGCCATGTTATTTATAAGATTTATTTATTTTTATTTTTATTTATTTTTTCATGATAGACCTAGAAAGAGAGAGAGAGGGAGAGACACAGGCAGAGGAAGAAGCAGGCTCCATGCAGGAAGCCCGATGTGGGACTCAATCCCGGGACTCCAGGATCGCGCCCTGGGCCAAAGGCAGGCACTAAACCGCTGAGCCACCCAGGGATCCCCTATTTATAAGATTTAGAAACAAATTAAATATACAAATATCAGGAAAATAATCCCATAAATTATGACACATCCTCTAGAAATATTTTGTAGCCACTACAATTTTGCTTATAAAGGTTAGGGAATAGGGCAGCCCGCGTGGCTCAGCGGTTTAGCGCTGCTTTCAGACCAGGGTGTGATCCTGGAGACCTGGGATCGAGTCCCAAGTCGGGCTCCCTGCATGGAGCCTGCTTCTCCCTCAGCCTGTGTCTCTGCCTCTCTCTCTCTCTCTCTCTCTCCCTCCTCTCTCTCTCTCTCTCTCTGTGTGTGTGTCTCTCATGAATAAGTAAATAAAATCTTTAAAAAAAATTTAATGAAAGCTATATTCATTAAGTGCTTACTTTGTGCTAGGCAGTGTTTGAAGTGCTCTACAGGTATTCATTCTTTCCTGACAGCAACTCTATAATGAAGGTATCTTGTAACCCCATTTTATAGATAAGAAGTTGAGATATAGAAAAGGACAGAGGAGATGAGGGACATTAGCCACATTTGGGACACCAGACTGTGTTACAGGAATACAAGGTAGTCCTCGAATTCTAATGGGGGAGAAGAGGACTGTCTTGAAGCATCTGAGGGAAAAGTTGAACAAGAGTATTCTGAAGACCAGAGAGTCTAGATGTGTTCCAGGTATCTTACTGTGTAGCAAATCACCTCAAAACTCAGTGGATTAAAACAACAATGTATTGTTATCTATCATGGTTTGGGGGTTGATGGACTCACCTGAGAAATTCTCATTGGGGTCACCCACACAGTTGTAGTCAGATAGCTTCTGAGATCAGCATCATGTGAAGGATTCTTCACTCACAGGTTAGCTGCCTGGGCCAGGATGGCAAGGAGAGCTGGGTGCTGTTTGGGCATGATTCTCCACAGCATCTCTCCAGGTGGTTAGCTTTGGCTTCCTCACAACATGGTGGCCTCAGGACAGCTGGACTTAAATGGTGGCTCAGGGCTCTAGGAGTGCATCTGCCAAGAGACAAGTGGAAGCGGCCAATCTATGAAGACCTAGGCATTGACACTGACACGGTCACTTCCATTTATTCTTTAAATTGCCCATGTTGAAGGAAAGAGGCATAGACTCTGCCTCCTAATGGGAGGGCTGACAAAACATGAGTAGCCATCTTTAATCTGCCAAAGAATGGCACAGCCAAATGGATAGTCTCTATTCTTCTAGTGGAGAGGTTACCACTGGGATGAGTTCCTGGAAACTTCTGTCCTTATTCTGCCTGAGTCCTGGCTCCACGAGAGTGTGATTTTATCCAGGCCAAGGGTGGGCAGGCCCCCTTGATCATCATCCAACCAAGGGTGTGCAATGGTAGAGCAGTAGACCCCCAAAAGAAAATCAATGTGTTGTCACCACAAAAAAAAGGGTGAGTGGACGCTACAGAGGTGAAAAACAAAGTTCACCTCAAGCATTTATTGTTGGTTTTAAATCTATTTTTGTCCAATGTGAGCATCTTCACACAAACCCATGCCCCTCCCCCCAGCCCATTTACACTCATACTTATTCTCCACGTCCCTCTATTTTATTCAAATAACAAATGTCAACTTGCAGCAACACTAGGCAGGTGTAAGCAAGGCTCTTGCGGGGGGATCAAAAATGAGTCAGACCTGGAGCTTGTCCTTGAGCTGTTCACTCCCTAGTAAAGGGAAGAGAGAGAAATAACAATAACATCTGAGAAGACAGGAGAAAGTGCCATAAGAGGCATAGATAAAGTGCTCTGGAAATTCAGAGAGAGAGAGAGATTACTTCCAGCTGCACCCTTAATCACATGCTGCCTCACCACATCTCTTGTATTGTTGTCTTGTCTGGTTATTAAATCCTATATTATTGAACAACAGCAAACCAGTGATGCTGAATAATTCATGGAACTACTCCCTTCTCTGCCTCCAGAGCATCAGCTCCTCCAGTCAGGGCCGAAGAACTGATAGGCATATGGCAGGGGCCAAGATCTATGGACTGAAGAATACCGGCTTCAACAGAAGAGAACATCGATAAACTACTATCTGAACAAAGCCTATAACGGGCCCATAAATATAGACCTTTATCAGCTTACTAATATTTCTTCAATGCATTAAACAAAATAAGAAACTCAAAGATTGCTTTTCTCCATGGCCCCCTAGTTTTATTTTCCTGGTAGGAGGACACGTCGTTCTATTGGCATCACTTTCCAATTACTGATGTCACAGGCGGGTGTGTTCTTCCACCTTGGCTATGCGGAAATGTCAAATAAAGGTGATGGACTGTAATAGTAAAACACACCTCAGTGATGGCTCTAGAAGGAACTTCTACATATAGCAATCTCAGATTTCTTCATGGGAGGTTCTTTTGTGTGTGTAGCATCAAAGTGTTGCCTTTTGGCATCACATGCAAGTCTTTCTGGAAAAATGTACTACGTTATCTTTTTTGTTTCTTATGTTTAAGTGACAGATGGTTAGGAAATATCTTCTTCACTCTTATAATTATTTTCCCCAGTTTTTCTCCATTAAACAGCAATTACCCTCATGCATAATCTTTCTAAGTAGTTATTTTCTAGCTCCTGAAGAGAATAATCACAGTGAATGGCATTCATCTTATGTACTTCATGCTTTTTCTCAGCATGAAACTTCTATTGACTATAATTTGTACCACAGTAACTAACACAGACACTCAAACATGCTTGGTAGTTAATTTTTTTTAAGTGGACCAAGTTTTCAGATGAAATACTCCTTGGTTTTACAAAGGGTAGTTTTCCTGGATTCTATCCAAAAGCACCTTCAAAGAAAATTAGATCTATGACTGCTGTGCTTTAAATATTTTCCAAGGGAGATGTGGAGTGAAAACATTCCCCCCGCCCCCCCGCCCCGGGTTAGATCACCTCACATTTGTACTGTGCTAAGCATTTTACAAAGCATGCAAACCATCTGCTTTACAGAGAAGGATAGAAGGATACCCCTTTTGGATTTACTTCTTGGTGCTAGCAATATTGAAAAATGATTTAATTTACACCATAAAAAAAAACTTTAGATAGATTTGACAATTCAACATATAAAGCAAGTCATAGCAAAGTAGCAGAAAACAGAAACTAGTAGTTATGATATCTTTAGAGGAATTATACTTTCTCTAAGCTTGGAAGCAGGAAATGAAATATCAAAGGACAAAAACAAGAGATTTGAGGATTTGTAAATTAAATATGATTTTTTTACATTTTTAAAACTTAAATTCAATTTGCCAACATATTAAACATGATTTTAACAAGCAACATTATTTTACCAAAGGTCCTTCATGATTAATCTAGAAAAAATTATTCTTGGTCTTTGGCATTCAGGAGTGTCCATATCTCGTAAGTAATTCCAAAAGTCAACGACATAAAGACCTGTGTTGGGGATCCCTGGATGGCTCAGTGGTTTAGCGCCTGCCTTTGTCCCAGGGCATAATGCTGGAGACCTGGGATCGAGTCCTGCATTGGGCTCCCTGCGTGGAGCCTGCTTCTCCCTCTGCCTCTCTCTCTCTCTTTATGTCTCTCATGAATAAATAAATAAAATCTTAAAAAGAAAAAAAAGACCTGTGTTATTTTGTGAGTCAAAATCTGAATTGTAAAAAAAAAAAAAAAAAAAAAAAAGAATCTGAATTGTCCCGGACAGAGCCCCTCACTTGAAGGGATCCCATCTGACCCCTGCACCCGACTTCCAGGGTGGCCTCATCCTCTCGCCCACTGAGTGCGACACCCTCTGCGTCCAGAAATCACATGTTAATGCATTTGTACCAAGGAAAACATCCACCACAAAGGTTTTTCTCCAATGTGGGGATTCAAAAAGTCTTCACCCAGGATGCATTTCTGGAGGATGATATAAGTGCTGGGAAATTCCACAGGACGCAGATAAAAGGCAGATAAATGGAAAGTCACTGAATTTCTAGAGAGGTTGCCAGAATCAGGACTCTCTTTACTCAGCCTTAGGAGAACTGCAACTCTGAATACGAGGACAGTGTTCAAGAGAATCGGTGCTCCTGTTAATAAAAGAAGAGAGAAGGAAGAAAAGAAAGCAGCCAGCGGAGCGGGGTGGGGAGAGGACCCTGGTCAGAGCCCCACGGGGCAGTGGCCCCCGCACCGGAGTCCTCCTGACTCAGCCCATCTCGGGGCAGGAGCAGCCGCACTCCCCGCTGGCGACACTCAGCTGCCCAGGCCGTGGTGGCCTCAGTCACACACCCCAGGCAGGACGACCCGGTTCCCAGCCCCGCCCGCATTCCTTCCTGCTGTCACATCTCCTTCCTCTTTCTCTCTGAGCTTGTCACACCCTCGGCAAACCCTTGGAAGGCCCTCCAGCTGGTCTCCCCGGGTTCCAGACTGTTCCATCACTATCCATGAAACACTTTCCCCAGAGGCCGCTCCCCAAAATGCGTGTGACCGGGTCGCTCCCAGCTTTAAAACGCTTCAGGGAATGGCCAGCTGCCTTCAAGAGAGGGTTCCCGATTCTTTCTTTTTTATTGTGGTAAAAAAACAACTACAAAAAACCCCACATAACGTGAAATTTGCCATCTTCATCATTTGCAAGTGTACGATAGTTTGGTGTTAACTGTATTCACACTGTGCAGTGGAGCTCTAGAAATTGTTCCCCTTGCAAAACTGAAATCATACCCATGCGACAGCTCCCCTCTCCCGCCTCCCCCAGGCCCCTGGCAACCACCATTCTACTTTCTATTTCTGGGAGTCTGACAACTTTAGATACCTCACAGAAGTGGAATCATGCAGTGTCTGTCCTCTGGCTACTGGCATATCTCACTTAGCAGAATGTCCTCACTGTTCCTCCATGTGGTAGCACGTGTCAGACTTTCCTTTAAGGCCGAACAACATTCCAGTGCATGTGTTTACCACACGTGGTCTAGCCATTCACCCAAGGACGCACGTCGGGGTTGTTCCCACCTCTGGGTTATTGTGACCCACGCTGCTGTGAGCACAGGTATACAGATACCTCTTCAAGACTCGGCTTTCAATTTTTGTGGACAAATATCAAGAAGTGGGGTTCCAAAAAAAAAAAAAAAAAAAGAAGTGGGGTTGCTGGATCATATGGTAATTGCATTTTTAACTTTTTGAGGAATTGCCAGACTGTTCTCCTTAATGGCTGCTCTATTTTACATTCCCACCAACAGGGCACAAAGGTTGCAATTTTTCCACCTCCTCACCGACGTTTCTATCATTATTATTATCTTATAGTAGTGGTCATCCCTTGGTGACGATTGAAATTGAGCATCTTTTCATGTTTGTTGCCCATTTGTATGTCTTCTCTGGAGAAATGTCTATTCGAGTCCTTTGCCCATTCTTTAGTTGGGTTTTTTGTTTTCCTGTTGTTGAATTGTCGTTCCTAATTCCTTTTTTTTTATGATTTTATTTATTTATTCACGAGAGACACAGAGAGAGAGAGAGAGAGAGAGAAAGAGAGAGAGAGAGAGAGAGAGAGAGAGAGAGAGAGAGAGAGAGAGAGGCAGAGACACAAGCAGGCTCCACGCAGGGAGCCCGAAGTGGGACTCAATCCCAGGTCTCCAGGATCAGTCCCTGGGCTGAAGGCGGTGCTAAACCGCTGAGCCACCCGGGCTGCCCCTGTTCCTAATTCTTAAGCATGGTCTATATCCTTTATGATCTAGTTGTAAGCCTCATTTCCCTCCTCTCTGTACCTCAGATACTTTTTTATGGCAGCTCATTTCCATGAGCTCCTTAATGAAGTAGCCATTGGTATTGAGCTCATCATGTGGTGTTCCTGCCAGGGAGCTCCCCTCCCAACCTCCAACATATCTTGACTACTGGAGCACAGTCTACTTCTGCCAGAAAGAAAAATCCCTTGAGGGAATTGTCGTTGGGAGGCTTTGTCTCACCGTGTTCTGAAGCCCACTATTCCCTCCAAGCACCAGTCAGAACCAAAATCTCATTTAATATCCAAACCCTGATAACAAGCATGGAGACTTGCACGTCATCTGTATCATTAAATATTTTCTGATGAGGGCAATCCGGGTGGCTCAGCGGTTTAGTGCCGCCTTCAGCCCAGGGTGTGATCCTGGAGACCCAGGATCGAGTCTCACGTCAGGCTCCCTGCATGGAGCCTGCTTCTCCCTCTGCCTGTGTCTCTGCCTCTCTCTCTCTCTGTGTCTCTCATGAATAAATAAAATCTAAAAAATAAATAAATAAAATAAAAAATATTTTCTGGTGAAAAGGAGGGGAGGAGGAGGAAAATCTGGCAAGCAGGTAAGCAACCCAGGGCAGAGGAAAACACATAACTAGGCTTTTCCTCTGTACCCCTCTTTGACTCCCTATGCTGCCCACTTCCCACAGGACAGCCCCGAGGACCTGGTGACATGGTGTGTCACACTCAGGTCCCACCTGAACCCTTATCTCATCTTCCCCAAGCTGAAATGGGTTAGTCCTCACAAAGGGTACCCTCTGCTTCCCACTGCAGTGTTCCAAATGGAGTTTAGATCCAGGGATGATGATCCAGTGCAATCTGGCCGATACACTGTCACGTCTTGGCTTAGTGAGTAAAGTACCATTTCTGAAGCATCTCCTCCCAGCCAGCCAACATGCAAAGGCCTTTGGGTTTGTTAGCACATTCGACCCCTTTTCAATCCTTTGAGAAGAGTTATTAGCCTCACCTTTCTAATGAGGGAAATGAGACCCAAGCCAGGATGTTAGCCAAGTGGGTTTTTTATTATTATTATTATTTTAGATTTCATTTATTTGAGTGAGAGAGCACAAGCAGGAGGAGGGAAGAAGAACAGAGGGAGAGGGTGAAGCAGATTCCCCACTGAGCAAGGAGCCTGACACAACACTACACAACACAACCCAACACAACCCTCAGGCTAGATCCCAAGACCCTGGGATCATGACGTGAACAGAAGGCAGATGCTTAACTGACTGAGCCACCTAGGCACCCCCTAGCCAAGTTTCCAAGTTTCCTGGCCTTGCTCTCATTATTATATCATGACGCCTCAAGGTCAGGGTCTTTTTAGATTTACAATAGACATGGTCTGTTGTTTTGATAATTATGTATTAGGTGTGTGCTGTATGGTTCACAGCCATAGAATCTTCTAAGCCTGCAAGATATCTTAGAGAACATCTAGTCTAATCCCCTCACTTTACAAACAAGGAAGCTGACAACCTGACACGACTTAATAACTGTATAGTGAATAGAATGATAATAATCATGCTCTGTAGAGATTTTTTTTTCTATTTGATTTTTAAGTGTTCTTTTTGGAATTTAAAAGCAGTACAAGTTCAGTGCTGAAGAACTGTAAATGAGAAATTTTAAACATCCATAATTCATATTCCACTTGCCCTAACACTTATTGATAAACACGGTTTTAGTCTTGGCTCATTGGTGCCTCATGTTAGGCCTTAGGAAACAGATGTATCTATTAGGCAATTGACTATATATTTGTATATATACACATGTAATTAGTTGATATTATATTCTTTATAAAATATGGTATTCTTATTGAATATTATGAATATTCTTATTTTATTAAGATTCTTTATAACTTTTCTTAAATGATGGAAACAATTTTACCATAATCATAAAAATAAAACTTTCTCAGTGGGGATAGATTTTTTTTTAAAAGATTTTATTTATTTATTCATGAGAGACAGAGAGAGAGACAGAGAGAGAGAGAGAGAGAGAGAGAGGCAGAGATACAGGCAGAGGGAGAAGCAGGCTCCATGCAGGGAGCCCGACGTGGGACTCGATCCCAGGACTCTGGGATCACACCCTGGGCGGAAGGCAGGCGCTAAACCACTGAGCCACCCAGACATCCTGGGGATAGATTTTTTAAAAATATAATTCCAAAGTAAACACTATCTATTATCCCATTACCAAGAGATAACCACCATTAACACTTTTTGCTGTGGGGAATGTTTTTTGCTCTGTTTGTGTGTGTGTATATATAATTGAGACAAATGGAACAGATGTTTTTAAACTGTTGATGCATTTTTCCAGATTGCTTTCCAGAAAGTCTGTGATTATTTAAATCAGCACCATCAACTTTTTTTAGCACCATCAATTAATGAGAATGTTCTCCTCACAATATGCTCACCAACTTTAGATACTTTGTTTTTTAATTTTTTGTTAATTTTATCATGGGAAAAATGGTTATGAATGTGAACTTATTAAAAATATTGATTGTGAAAATTATTGCTTATAATTATTTTATGAAGCAAATGAGGTTATGTATATAATATTAAGAGCTCTGTATAACTAAACTCTAGCTTATATTATGCCTATTTAGACTATTTTAAACCAAGGTAACAATGGCTTAAAAACAATCTTGCAAAATTGCATTATGTTAATTGGAAATTGACAGAATAAGTACCAGGTAAAGTAGGTCTAAGTGCTTCGAGTAAGAGTTCTATAGAAGAGATGAAGACAGAACCTCTCTGTAAATCTATTCATTTGTCTCATTCCTACCTCATTCCGAAACAGGGAGATGTGACGTGCAGCATAGTGGGAACAAGGAGACCCCGCCCGCAATCAGAATTTCTGAAATGTTCTACTTGGGTATAGTTTACAGCCATGCCAGCTTGGAGGGATATACATCAAAGTCACAATCAGAAAAGGTTTTCGGGACACCGGTTGAGCACCTGCCTTTGGTTCAGGTCAGAATCCTAGGGTCCTGGGATCGAGCCCCACATCAGGCTCCTTGTGGGGAGCCTGCTTCTCCCTCTGCCTGTGTCTCTGCCTCTCTCTCTGTGTCTCTCATGAATAAATAAATAACATCTTAAAAAAAAAAGTTTTCAAGCCCAGTTACTACTTTCCTAAGGCTCCCCAATGTTATTGTATATGCCCCTCCTGTCCCTTTGCACCCAAATATTTTTAAACAAATCTTTATGCCCATTAAATTTCCAGTACGATTTACATGCCAGCGTGACCCTGATGCCGTGAGGACCACTGTCTGTTGGGGATGAAGGGAATCACATTCATGGGCTGTGCAGTGATCAGTATCCGTATGGAGGAGAGGAAAACTCTGGAAAGGCCTGATGTATAAGGAAAGCCACTTTAGGTTTCTAAGTTCTAACGTGGGTTCGAGTAAAACTCTCTTTCTTACTTTCAGAGATTCTAAAAAGTTTGTCCATTTTGGGCCAACAGTATTCAGAGTTCGCAGCCCTAGAGAGGCCTCCTGCCCCGCCCTGGGAGGGGGGCGCACTGCTGGTTTGTGATGTCAGTGTGTAAAGCTACCCTCAGCGTCTCTAGATAACTAAGTGAGATAATCCTGGGAGAAGGCGCAAGAGTGAAATGGAAATGTTTGGACTGCATTTTGTACGTATCCAGACACGTGAGAACAGACACAAACTTCTGAAATCGATCACAGCCTGTGATGTCATATGATGCTGTCATTAGTGTTACCATCTGAAAAATGAAATCCCTTCATAGTGAATGCATTGTCTGCTCTGTGACTGTTACTTGTTAGTGATTAATGCTGTCATTGTTCGGGCCACTTTGTGTTAAAAATGCACGATAATCATGATAAAGGAAGCACAGAATTCCAGCTCTTTGTCCTGACATTCAGGGCCTTACATGACAATGACCTGATGAAACTTTTAAGCTTGATCTCTCTCCTATGCAAATCTTTGTTCCAGGAAAACTAGTTACTCAACATTCCCTCCCTCCCTCCATGCTTCCTTAGCGACAGTCACTTCATCTAGAATGCCCCACTTACCAACACGTGGTCTGGCAGTTCAGTCAATTGAGGATCCTCTCAAATGCCACCGCCTCTGTGACATTTCTCTCCTGTGAACTTTCTTCTCTACTCTGGCAAAGGTCCTTTGAAGATAGAAGCTATATCTTACACAATAGGAATAACAGACCTCTAGCTTGTTCCCTTCCTCCCCAACTATAAAGTTGTTGCCAGGAAGTGACTACCTAGCCAGGGACAACACTGGCCAATCTCCTATGTCCAGTTATGCCAAGTGACTTGTTCTTACAGGTTGAACACAAGTGAAAGTGACAGGTGTCGCCCGTGGGGTGTGTGTTTTAAGAAATCTGCATGCTTTCTTTACTCTTCTACCATTTAGGCAGCTTGAAGCAAAGATTCTGATGCCCTAGAAGATGGCAGGAATTCAAGATAGAAGGGTCCAAAAATACCTGGGTCACCAGGAGGAAGAAAGGTGCCTACTGACCTAGGACAGCATCATTGAGCTGTTAAGTGAGCGTGAAATTAAGTTCCATTGAGTTAAGCCACTGAAATCTGAGGTTTTCTTTCTTATAAAGCCAGAGCCATCTGCTGCCTAATATAGCTTGGTATCCTTTTTAGTATTTGGCTCATTCTGTTTTATACAGCAGGTGCTCAAAAAGTATTTGTTAAATTGAAGAGAAAATTCAGAGACAAACATAAAGAAAGATAAATTAGGTTATACTGTTAGGATATAGTTTGAGATATCTGATGACACCAAAATGCTCCTCCAACCTCTCTTAAAAAATATTCCCTGCTCAAGTCATTTGTTTTACATGATAAGTACTTACACATTGAGATCAGTTGTCACTTTGTTCTTAGCCAAGAGAAAATAAGGATGTTTTGTGAATTGACGGTCATTCTAGTTGAACATGGGTGCCAAGTTTCTTCTGGTTATATGAGCCAGATGGCATAACTGTGAACAAATAATGGTAAAATGAAAGATAAGCCGTTTTGATTGTCAGATTCTTGGGTCAGATTTCCCATTAAGACATAACTAGTGGATAGGGGCCCTTGGCCAATAGCACTTCCGTTCACACTCTAATTAGACTTTCATTGTAAAATAATGATGTTATTATTGATGGTATTATTTCTTAGGTTGTGCTCAGTCATACAAAAGGGAGAAATCTATTAGCTCCAAGCCCCAAATGTCATCAAGTCAAAACAAGTATGTGTCATCAGCTCTCTGAACCAAACGTCAGGCTATTTCAATATGACTGGATATTTGGTGGATATTGCATTAAAAACTCAGAGTGTAGGGGATCCCTGGGTGGCTCAGCGGTTTAGTGCCTGCCTTTGGCCCAGGGCATGATCCTGGAGTCCCAGGATCGAGTCCCATGTAGGGCTCCCGGCATGGAGCCTGCTTCTCCCTCCTCCTATGTCTCTGCCCCTCTCTCTCTCTCTATGATAAATAAATAAATAAATCTTTAAAAAAAAAAAAAACTCAGAGTGTAAAGCTTGAAGAGTAAGAAGATAAGGTAACCAGAAATTTGCTATATCTGCTCTTTTTCTCCACATTCCTAGTATTCAGTATGGTCAAGGGTGAGATCTTTTTTTTTTTTTTTTTTAAAGGGTGAGATCTTTATCTCATCATGTGTTTTCAAGTATTGTCCAGTGTCCTTTCATGTAGCCTGAAGGACTCCCTGGAGTATTTCTTGCAGGGCAGGTCAACTAGTGACAAATTCTCTCAGGTTTTGTTTATATTTGTTTATTTGAATGTCTTTTAAGAATACATTTTTTAAAAAGATTTATCCATTCATTTTAGAGAGAGAGAATGTGAATGTGCAAATGTGGGTGGGCAGTAGGGGTGGGCAGAGAGGTGAGGGGAAGGACAGAGGGAGAGGGTGAGAGAGAGAATCTTCAGCAGACTTTTTACTGAGCACAGAGCCCAACTTGTGGCTCAATCCCACCACCCTGAGATCATGATCTGAACCCAAATCAAGAGTCAGACGCTCAACCAACCGAGCCACCCAAGCACCTCTCAAGAATACATTTTTGATGAATGGTTTGCTAGATGTACAATTCTGTTATTTTTGTTTCAGCACTTTGAATAGGTCATCCCACCAATTACTGGCCTCCACAGCTTCTGGTGAGAAAGTCAGCTGTTAATTCACCATCAATTGTACATGATAAGTCATTTTTCTCTTGCTATTTTCAAGATTCTCTCCTCATCTTTAGCTTTAGACACTCTGCCTATGTTGTATTTCAGTGTGGATCTCTTTGGGTTGATTGAGTATGTTGCATTTCTAGGATGTGCAGATTAATCTTTTCCAGGAAATTTGGGAAATTTTGGCCATTATTTCTTCACAGATTCTTTAAAAAAAAAAAGATTTTATTTATTTATTCATGAGACTGAGAGAGAGAGAGAGAGAGAGAGAGAGAGAGAGGGAGGCAGAGACACAGGCAGAGGGAGAAGCAGGCTCCATGCAGGGAGCCTGACGTGGGACTCAATCCTAGGTCTCCAGGATCAGGCCTAGGCTGAAGGCAGCGCTAAACCGCTGAGCCACTCAGGCTGCCCTTCTTCACAAATTCTTGCTACCTCTTTTTCTCTCTTGTCTCCTTATTGACTCTCAATATGCAGATGTTGGTTAATTCCCATTTCCATATTAAATTGTTTCATGCAGGCATAAGTACTCCTAGACATCCATTCCTATAAATAAAGTCGCTAGGTTATGGCAGTGACATTACAAGTTTTGATAGATACTGCTAATTGCTTTCTCAGATGTTTATAACAAGCTACCCCCGCACCAACAATGTCTGGGCAAGCCCATTTCTCTTAGGGACTTTTAATTGATTATGCTGGAGATTCTTTTTAAATATTGGATGAGGTACTTATTTTCAGATTGAGCTGTAGTTCCTTAGATGAGACTTACTGCCTCTCAGAATCTTCAGTCAATGTCATTGTTACCTGCTCTGCTAGTTCCTCCTAGAATCACCCTCAGAAAACATTCACGAAGTAGGAAGAAATGGTGAGCATATTTCCCAGTGTTTTTTGTTCTATTCTGCTTTGTTTCTCGCTAAAGGAAAGTCTGTTCATTCTAAATGACCTCTGTCTCAAATGATAGGGTGAACTGTGACCCTCCTCTGGGCCCTCAAAGCTGTGAGGAGACATATATTTCTGTTTTGTTGCTTTCTTCCACTCAAATTACCTGATGTCTTTTTTTTTTAAGTTTATTTATTTAAGTAATCTCTATACCCAACATGGGACTCAAACTCACAACTCAGAGATCAAGAGTGGCACCCTCTCCCTACTAACCCAGCCAGGCGTCCTTCCAGTATCTTCTATGATACAATCTATACTGGCTGCATAGGAATTCATAACTGCAGAACAACAACAACCCCATCTTGGTCGTGTTCTTAGTTTCTATTTTTCCCTGTTATAAATAACACTGCAATGATTATTAATAATCTCTAGGAGAGCAGAGCCCTATTTTACTTTTTTGTTGTGTGGTAGCACAGAATCTGCCTCAAAAAAAGACACCAGGAAGTATGTGTAGAATGAATAAGTGGTTGAATAACAAGCTTTTATGTATTTAAACCTTTATTTCCAAATTTGATTATTTTCTTCAAAAAATACCCAGAGGATAAATTGATGGGTAGGTAGATGTGTATATTTTTAAAACTCTTCGTCAGTATTTTCAAATTGCCTGCAGAAAATTTCTGCCAATTCACACACCCACTGGGCGTACATGGGAATGTCTATTTTTCCACCTTGGTCAACTATTGACTCTTTAAATCTATGTAATTGATGGTCAAAAATGGGGTATTCCTACTAGTTTTATTTATTATTTATTATTATTATTTTCTTACTAGTTTTAATGTTTTGTAGGACAGTGATGTTGAACTTTTTAAATATCTTCCACTATTTGCTTCTTTGACCCGCAGAACTCATTGCTTTGGGAAGGAGAGCTGGTCTCTCGAGTCTTGGGGGCCACAGCCTGGGGCAACTCAGGGAATGAAAGGGCCGTCCTGTGACTCACAAGCCACCTGCCTCTCAAGCAATTTCGCAGGTGTCATCCTCACTGGTAAAAAGAAAAGCAGGGAGAGTCCAATTGTACCTTGCTTCTGGCCAGTTGGCCTCTCCATGCACCTTGACCCAGGCAATTTGGGTTTATCTTTTGGATCTTAGGAATTTAGCGGCAGGCTTTTGTCACCACCTCCACTGATTTTTGTCACTCACCTTCCCCTAGGCAGAGAATCTCCAAGCTTTTTGGGTTTTGTCCTCATGCTGGCAAACTGTTTTCAAGCATGTTTTTCCAGTTTACATGTATTAACTAATAAAATCTATGCATGTACTATAACACTAACGTATTAAGTACATATAAATCTCTTACATGAATCTCAAGATTTTAAAGATTGTATTTATTTATTTGAGAGAGAAAGTGTGCGTGCGTGAGCACATGTGCAAGGGCGGGAGAGGCAGAGGGAGAAGGAGAGAGAATCCCATGCTGACTTCACCTGAGCCGAAATCCAGAGTCAGACGCTTAACCGACTGAACCACCCAGGCGCCCCTGAAACTCAAAATTGTAAAGGGTGAGATTAAAGAGATATACATAGCTGGGAGCTCAGTGATACTGCTGTTTGGACTCTGCACACGGGAGTCCAGGGCTCCAGGGTAGTTGCAGGAAAGTGGACTGTCTCCTTGTCTGAGCAGGTGGGCTGTTCACACATTTCTTGGGGAGCTACACCTCCTCCACCACTGACCAGCTGGCTGTACCAACCAGCACTTTCTATGGGGTGCTGTAGAAAGTCACTTTCCACTCTGAAGGGCTGTTCAGTAAAATGAATGCCGTGTCCACACTCTGGGAACTGGGACTGGGAACCTTTCTCGCTCCACCCACTCTCCGCTATCTCACAATCTGTGTCTAATCTGCTCGTTCAAAGATTGCCTTGACATTTGAGTGAAGGCAAGTGAAGCAGGATCCTAGTCAGGACCCACCCTTAGCTGTTATGGTAGATTTTGTGTCACATGATCCAAGTGAGTAAAGAACTCGGTTCACACCATACTGTGTAAAAATGGAAGGTCTCTGTACAGAGGAACAAAATGATGTAACATCGAACCAATGTAATAAAAAAGTAACACGCAAAAGTTATGAGGGGCTTTCTTTTGGGTAAAATGTACCACCAAATGCTTTCAAGGCAATGCTTTTCCCTAAACAAAGAAGAAAACTTCCTCAAATACATTTTTTTTTTAAAAAAGATTTTATTTATTTATTCATGAGAGACGCACAGAGAGAAAGAGGTAGAGACACAAGCAGGCCCCACGCAGGGAGCCTGACGTGGGACTCAATCCCGGGTCTCCAGGATCACACCCTGGGCTGAAGGGGGCACTAAACCGCTGGGCCACCCAGGCTACCCCCTCAAATAGATTTGAGTTAAAATCTCTGGTGAAGAGGAAATGAGAAAGTCAGGAGCAGGGCCTCCTGACACCACCTTGAAGGGCTGCGCTATATTTGAAAGGGCAAGCGTCTCTGGAGCCAGATAACTGGACTTGAACTAGCTGTGGGTCCCACGCCTGCAGTGTGCTAGCAGCGTAACCTCGGACATTGGGATTTTCAGTCTACAGACAGGGGAGAAAAAGAATCCTTTCATCTTAGCAACGTCATGAAGTTCACACAAGAAAATGCCCACCAACCATTCTGCATGGGGCAGGTGCTCAATAAATACTTGTTCATTCCTTCCTCATCCCCTTTGGGCCACGGGGATCTTTCATGCCTGCTTATGAAGAGTTGGCTTCTTCTTTCTTTCAGCATTAATGACGTAGATCATCTCTCAAAGAGTTGCCTTAGCTATGCCTTAAATATGCCTTGGATATGAAACTTTTATTTCAAAAGTCTATGCTCCATTTAATCATTTCTAAGTCTGTAATGCAACCAAATGCGCCCATTTCTGATAAAAGTTAGTGGATACAGCCTC